GGGGAAGAGCGGCTTTAGACAGGGCTATCCTCTATCTCCCTACCTCTTCATTTTATGCTCTCAACTTCTTACCAATGCCTTTGAATAAGATGGAAGAAATCTGGGAATTAGATTAGCTCCATTGGCTCCCAAGATAAGCCATCTTATGTATGCGGATGACGTTCTAATTCTATCTGCAGCTAAGGTTGATGAGGTGAAGCAGATTCAAAAAATTCTTAAAAAATATTGCTGCTGGACGGGTTAGCATATAAACAAGGCAAAATCTGTCATTTTGTTTGGTAATTCAGTGGTCAGAAGTTGTAGAAGACGGATCAGGAAAATCTTGAATTTCAAGGAAGTAAAGGAGCTGCAATACCTGGGTGTGAAAATGACACTAAGGAGATTAAAACATAGTGATTTCCTTCATTTACTGGAGAAAGTTTCAGCTAAACTGAATGTGTGGGGAAGAAGGTACATATCAGCTCCAGGAAAGTTGGCTCTCATCAAATCAGCTATTCTATCCATACCAGATTTTTTTTCTACTCATACTTTAATCCCTTTAAGCATATTGAAGGAATTAGATAGAGTATGTAGAGATTATCTTTGGAGAAAAGAGGATGGCAAACCTGGAATGCACTATGTTGCTTGGGATGACCTCTGTTGTCCCACCAATCTGGAGGTAGAGGTGTTCTGTCAGCAATTCATTCAGTTGGACCTCTTAAAGCTAAGTTCACGTGGAATTACTACAAGAATCCAAATTCAATCCTCAACAAATCGTTGACAGCAAAATATGGAAGAGATGTTATTCACGGTGATATTAAAAGATTCAATTCTCCTTCTTGGAAAATCCTTATCAGTGGTGCTAAAGCTTTAAACCCGGTTATCAGATACAAAATTGCTACATGTAATACTATCAGTATTCTTGAAGACCGCTGGATTTTGGATAAAAGATTGGAATTATGGCCAACTTTCATAGCTACAGTTGAAGGTGAATTCCCAAATCTAGAAAACTTTATTCTAAAATAGAATTGCTGAAATATTTTGGAAGAGTGTTGGTGGAGATAATTGTACAGATTAAACTGTACCCAGAACTTCCAAATGATGAAATGGAGCTTGTTAAATCGTTTACTGGCAAAACGATTGCTGCAATAGCAAGAACCAAATCAGATGTTACATTGGATTCGTGGAGCTGGTTCAAAAAAATTAAATTGAATCCACGGGTAGAATGGCTCTGGTGGCGATTATGGAGAAATGCTATTCCTTCTAAAGAATTCCTGGTATTCAGAAGATTGGCAATCGATAATATTTGTCCTAGAGTATGTGATGAAGTTGAGAACTCAGAGCATATAGCAGTAACTTGTGGCAAACTAAAGGAGGCGATCGATTTGGCTAATAAATGGGGATTTTTTCTTCCACTGTTTAACTCTTGGACAGATTGTTTGATGTATATGAAAAACATGTTGAAGGTAAATTTATTTGCTGTAAATTTATATTGCACAATAACCTTCTTTTCTTGGAAGAGTAGAAATAAAATGATTCATGAAGGGAAAGAATTTGGAATTTCATCTATTGTATCTAATGCCATCAGCACTTCTTCTATTGCTTTGAAGTTTAGTTCAATTTGGGATCACTGGGGTGCTAATCGATCTTTTAGAACTTTCTCAAATTCTTGGCATCCCCCTCCCCCCGAGTGGATTAAAGTTAATTTAGACGCAACTTTATTGAGATCCAATGAAGCAGGTACTGGTGGAGTTTTCAGAGATCATAAAGGTAGATTCCTCCTTGCTTTTGGAATCAAATGCACTCATTGGGATAATGGAGCTTTGGAGCTTTTGGCTTTTCAAAATTTAAACAAAAACATCAAGGATTGGATGTTGGATTCAAAAGGAATTATACTTGAAGGGGATAACATCAATGTGATGGACTATCTAAAAGCTAAAGTGAAGATACCTTTCCCGATTGATGATGATAGGTATGAAGACTTTTCTTTCCTTAAAAAGTTTGATTATTTCTTATTTAATTGGGTGGATAGAAGTTGTAATAAGTTACCAGATTGTTGTGCTAACTTGGCTGTGTTAGGTGATTTTATTTGGGAAGACACTAGCTCTGATAATTCCTCCTTATTTCTTGTATATATTAAAGGAGGATTGTGGTAGTTCTACTATCACTTAGTAGTTTGTATTAGGGGTTTTTTCTTTCCCCGTCTTTTGCTTTTATGCTATTTTGCAATTTCAAAAAAAAAAAATAGAAATATTGGAGTTTTAGGTTGTGGTCTCAATTTGACAGAAAAAAGCCTTCAATCAACTAAATATTAACCCAGTAATTCTCCGAAATTTGATTATTAAGCCTTGAAAGTTTCCTATAGCATGATGAAGTTATTTTGGGTTTCATATATTTTAGCTTTGGGGCCCGACCTCTATGCATTATATTAGGGGAGAGTTTTAATGGATTATGTTCTGGGGGAATTTTTGGAAGGTAGATTAGATAGAGATAAGACACTACCCAGAGATTTCACCCTCTTAGCAAAGATTTTAATATTTGAGTTTTGGTTTCCTATAGCCGCAAGCCCCTATAGTTAATTACCCTTCCCGATGAAGAGAGAATTTTTTATTAAGGTTAGTCATTAAGCAAATATTTAGTATTAAGTATATAGTAGCGGCAATTTTAGATGTAAATTTAATATTTAAATTTAGAAATTCATCATCTTGTACTTAAAGTGGATGGTGGGGGGAATTATAATAAACCCGATCAAGATCCATTTGTTTCGTCATCCCGAGTTATCACGGTCACTAGTCTCCTCAGTCAGAGGAGGCGGTCGATCCAACCTGATCGAATGATCCTTGTCGGCAGCCACGAATGGATTACTTCGTATAAGAGGACCTTATAGACTTGAGATGAATGTTTGCCTAAGGGATGAATTTAAGTCAATCTCAGCTAACAGAGGGCTTTGTGCTTTACCGATTATACCCTATAATTCGTTACTCAATGGTAAATAGCCATTGGGGAGCATACGAGCCTTTAACCATGATTGTAATACAGTAGAGTCATTTGATCAAGCCACCAAGTCAGAGGGCCATGGTCATAATCGTTAACTACGTGGAGTTGATCAGGCTAAGCCACGGGTTCTTTGTGGAGCCATCTAGTCAAACCACTAATTAGAGGACCAGTCATAACCATACCATGTAACGCCGTTTGGCCAAGCTACAGGTTAAAGTGGAGCCGTACTGGCTAAGCTACCGAATAGAGGACAAATGTCACGTCCTTATTAACAAAATAAAATTTGAGAATGAATCTGAGTTATATTCTCAACTGGATATTGCTCTTTATGATCTAGAGTTATTCTCGAGTTCATCGCCCTAATCAAATGGTTGTGGAGGGTGGATGAGTTTTGCTTTAAGTTTTAGATAATTAATTTTAATTTTAAATATTAATATTCTCAATAGGTGTAGAGCTTTGGAGTTTCAGTAGGATTTGAAAATTAATCCCTCCGGTTGATATTAGCTTTCAACACGACCATTATCAGGGTGACGTTGTAATTATTTGAAAATGTTTGTATTTATAAAAATTTGGAGGCATTTAAAAGGATAGAGTCCCATTCGGTTGAGATTAGCTTTCAACACGGCCATTATCGGGAGATAAAATGTTTGATATCTTTAATTATTTGAACCTTGTCGACTTTGTTCGCCTGCTAACAGAGACTATCGGGTTCAATTATTGATTATTATGAACATTGAAATTAAGAGCTTACATCTTTATGATGGGTTTTATTTAAAGAGCCTCTGAAGGCCTAATATGAACTTTAATATTAAATATCATTGTTGAATTATAATTAAGCATTCACTTGTAAATTCAAGTCGTGTCAACTCCAGTCCTTTGAAGGAGGATGAAACTTGAACATTTGACCCGCGCAGCATTCTCGAACCTTTGAATTATGAGTTCAAAGCAACGGTCGGAGCACATGGGGAATTAAATTCATGAGCATACTTCTCGAGGTAGTGCCTCATTTCTCAAGGAGGTAACATATTTCCAGGGATGTCATCAGCTTCCCAAGGTTGTTACACGCTCTTAGAGGCGTTGGTACACTTCTCGATGAGTCACATTTAGATTTAAGGAATCTTAATTTAATGCATGAGGGAAATTTTAAACTATTGAATTATTTGTGCAACTGGTTATTGCTAAAATTTACACAAATTTTCATTTAAAATTCAAAAAACACCTTATGTCGCTTGTATAAATGTTTTGGATCCAGTGATGTGAAGGCAAATTATGTTTCAGTTGTAGGTCGTAGTAGAGATTATTTAGCTTATTTTGTCTCATTCGAGTTGTCATTTATTACAGTTCGTAGGTGAAGTTTGCTTAATAGGAAGTAAGAGATTGTGTTTTTGCTTGTAAGTGAGCTATAATATTTCGTCTGTAGTCCATCGATTTTAATTGCCTTCGATGGCATGAGCAATATTATAGCATTTTTATATGATTTCGACGTTTTGGCTACAACGACGAAGTCCGTTTTGCAAACTGATAATGTTTGGAAAACGTCGCACAATGTTTCGTCCGTAGTTTGTTGATTTCGACCACTTAACTGCGAGGGTCCCCCCTCAGGTAAATTTGATGTTCTGATCGCGTCGGCGCAGCCTGTTTGACAATCGAAAGTCATTTGAGCAATTTAGTGAAGCATCACGCCTTCCAAATGTCACTTTCATCATCGATTTTTGACCGAGTCGCCTTCTTTGATAAATTTGGTGTTCAAAATGCACTGATGCGATATGTTTTGCAATTGGCTGAACTTTGAACAATTTAAATCGTGGTTGTGGTGCTTCAACATTCATTGTGTGTGATCTGTCCACTAATTGACTCCTTTGGCGCACTCAATCGAATGTGACATGTATATCGATGTCAACAGTTATCTAATTAATAAATTAGTGTGCTTAGTTTTATGATAATATTGTTGCTTGCTCTATTGGCTAATTTTTTGTAGAAAAAGGGCTGAAGAATAGAAAGAAAGATGTTTGATATTCAATAACCTATTCAAATGGTCCTGTAGATGCCGAGATTTTTCTTCAATTCCCTCCAACTTTCTTTGTTTTTCTTCACTTTTCTTCTGTTCTTCGCCATATTTTCGTAAAGAATCATCAGCTCGTTCCTTTTCTGAGCCTAAAGAAGTCTGCAAAATAAACAAGTATGGTAAATATTGCCTCAAATCTGATTTTCATTAAACTGTAATGATTAGATTCATTTATTTGCGTGAATATGAGTCCTAACAAATTACAAAATAGAGAACAAGCTCTATATCGATAAACCTAGTTTGCAAGTACAGGCCAAAATGGAGCCACATGCTATAGACAACTTCGGATAAAAAATAATAGTTGAAAATAAAAGAAAAATAAACACCGCTTCTTGTTAAGTGTCATCTACCTTTTCCAATTCCTGAAAGAAATTACATGCTTTACAAAATTTCTTTAATTAACTCAAATTTCAAACTAGTTTTTTTTAAATATATTTATAAGAAGTTAAAAATAGTCCCCCGACTATTTATTTACGACCAGCATAGTTCTGAAGCATCACATTTCTTCAATTTAGTCCCTCAATTATAAAAAATTGACACTAAATAGTTTCCCAGATATAAATTGATAGAAAAAGGGATAAAAAAATTAATCAAAATTTAGTTTCTCAACTATATAAAATTAATCTCAATCTACTCACTAAGGGACCATTTAAATTAATTTTATATAGTCGAGGGATTAAATGATATAAATATGATACTCTATGACTAAATAGGTCATAAATGAAGAGTCACGAGACTATTTTAGGCTTTTCTTATATATTCATTAATATTGAAAAATCATCCAATATGTCTTTTAGAGTGATACAAAAAATTGGTATGGAGTTTTTGAGTTAGCTTTGGAAAAGATATATAATGGTAAGGTTTATGTACAAATTGGATGCCTATGAAAATTTGGAAGGTTAGGAGAGATATTATAATGATTTGATTAACCATCAGATTTACAGATAAGCATTGTTAGGGTATATTCTTAGGCTACCTTTGGAACAGTTTTTTCTTGCTTTCTAAAATAACTTTCAAGTACAAAATTTTCTTGAATTAGAAAGTCATTTTAGGAAGCAGTATGAAAGCTGTCCCAAACAAAAACTTAATAAAACGGGACCACGTTATTACCTTCAGCTGTTCAACCTCAGCTGTCAATGAATCAACTTTCTGAGTATCCTGAACAAGAACAGTAGTTTCCTTGATGATAGGTGGCGCTTCTTCAATTGCTTTTTTCATCGCCTCTCTTTCCTTAGCAAGTAACTCATTAGTCTCATTAACCTTATTCTGTAGCACTTGCAAAGAGCTCTGCAACTTTGCAATCTCCTGCGCTTTTGCTTCCTCCAAGTCTGTCTGTGTACGGAAGAGTTACAAAAATTGATCATAATGATACAATAATCTCATCATAGTTTCGAATGTGTGAAACTTCATTTCTCACTATTGAAATACCATATCTTACAGGTAACATAAAAGCTATCACCTAAAATGGATCTGCGATTCATTGCTACCATTGAAGAAATGATAGTTGCGAAGCAAGGACAACATTCATGCTTACTTTTCCTCACAGGGGAAAAAATTAAGATTTTATTTGGGACAGTTAATTTGCTATTTTATAAAACTATTTTTTAGTACAAAAATTTTTAATTCAAAAAATTTTTGTATTAAAAAATTATTTTAGAAAGAGGCAAAGAAGCTATTCCAAACGAAGCCTAAATCTACAAGCATTTTTTTTTAAATTATGGAAAGTGTAGATTTTAAAACAATTACCCTTAAGCGCTTCTCCAACTGCAAACGCCATGTAAGCTCTTCCACCTTTTTTTCAAGTTTGTCCTTCGCTTCTTTTAGTGCCCCAGTTTCTCTGGCTGCCTGAATGCAACGAGAGTTATTATTTTATAGCCAACAGTTCGTGTTTATAGGAGCTGCAAACAAGGAATATGAGACATTTTGCGAAGGTCCAACGAGCAAAATTACCATAAAAAAAAACTATCACCCAACTGAAAATGTATTCCACGACTTTCAATCTGACATACACAAGCAAAAATTAAGGTTTTATTTGGGATGAATTTCTTACTATTTTCTAAAATATTTTTTTTTTTCAAAATTTATTGAAATAGAAAATTTTGAACTACAAAGCTGTTTTAAAACAATAAGAATGTTGTTACTATTTTTTAAAGTAAATTTTTAGTATAATTTTTTTTAATTATAAATTTTTATTCTAAAAAAACTATGAGAAAGATATCTCAAACAAAAACTAAATTATTATCATTATTTCATTTTAAATTCTTTTCCTTTGATCATCTTCATTTTCTAAATAGTTTGATTCCCATGGAGAAATAAAATTATTATCATTGTTTCATTTGGCAACAAGTAAGATTTAACTCTAGTTGGATTTAAATTTCATGAAAAAGTGATTTAAAAAATAGAAAAAAAAAAACTCAAGTTGGATTTATTAACTTCTGTAAATTCGGATTTATCAAATTTTGAGGGTATTAGATATTGAAAAAATTGTTCAGCGAAAAAGAAATCTGTCAAATTATTTGACAACATAACTCAGAAGATGGATAGATCATTAAAAAGTCAAATTTAAATTATATTTTAAATTTAATTTGTATTTTAAATATCATAACATGAATAAATTAAAATTATAAAAAATATAATTTGAAGTTGGCTTAATTATTTGATAAATAACTATTAATTTGATTACTAATTACAATACTAATTATCTAATTACTTATTTAAGTGTTATTTAAAAAAATTATTTGAATACTAATTACACTGGTAATTAGTTAATTATTATTTAAAATAATTAATTATTTAATTACTATTTATAGTAATAATTATTTAATGACTTTTAAGTGTTATTTTAATAAAATTTTGATTAGTAATCATACAATTAATTTTCTCATTAATTAATTAATTAATTAATTAATATTTACACTACTAACTATCTAATTAATTATTTATATTTTAAATTATATCAATTAAGCTAATTAGATATATTCTTAATTAATAATAAGTTATTCTTCTCTACCATTGCCTGGACCTTCTAGGGTTTGCTTTTCCTCCTCTCCGTTTCTTTGTTGTCGCCTGCTTCTCCGAGGTAGAGTTTTGAACGAACTCATCAAATCCGGGATTTACGGCAAAAAAAGCGAAATGGAGGATTTATTTCGCCGTGGGTTTTAAGATCTCCTCAAATCCCGTTTGGCAGGATTCAGCATAAATTATGTGTCCAAACTGCCCCATTAGGGTGAATTCCCTATAATTAGGGAGGTGAGTTGGAGAGGAAATGATAGTAGACTCCATGAATTTGCCAAGATCCCCTAAACCATCACTAGAAGGTGCCGAGCCCTGTCCAGTCGGAAAGCAGGTCAGGCTTGCGGGACTTGCAGTTCCAGATGCCGCTATGGTGAGTTTGAAATCCCTGGGCAGTTGAGCAAGACGAGGGCTGGCAAAGGAAAGAGGTCTTTATTGTGAGGATCACTAGAACAATCCCTTACACGTCTTCGAGGCTTTTGAGTCAATTCCGTGCAAGAAGGCTGGGTAGTAGACTACTTCCTCAAAACTTTTGAATCTTAGTTCAAGATACCCATCTAAGGAGATATTTGACCACTATCAGGTTATCTGAATTATCCCTTGTTTAGTCTACAGCCAAATGTTCTTTTTCAAGAAAAGTGAGCTGCTGTTTGTTTTTGTTTTGAACAGGCGAAGCGAGCGGGCTGACCTTCATCAGAGATATTTCAACATCAGATTCCGGTAACCTTTGGTCCTCATTTTCAGCTAGCTTTGGGATCCTAAACGACACATTATACCTGGTTCTCTGTTTTTCTTTTCTTTGTTTACCGTATTAAATATTATCTAGATGTTCATTTCGACTAAAAGTTTGCGGAGAAATGGAGGAAGGGAGGGAGGGAGTTGCTTGGCCTGAAGGATGAATTTGCCCATTTATTTTGCTTTTGATGCAACCGCTATTCTATTAGCAAGCATACTTTATGAATCCAAATTTCTAGCATGAAAACAAGCAATTAAAAGGATTACCGACCATTTTAAGCTTCCTCAATTCTTTCCTTGCAACCCTTCCCCTCCACTTAGTTTGTGTGACAATTGAAGCTCTCCTTAACTTTTTGTGATATGAATGGGCTTTGTGGCAACGCCATTGAGCCTGCAAAAATTATGTCAATTCAATCAATGCTAACAAACAAAAATTAACTAATAATTCAGTTCTTTAAGAACTAACAAGTTAACCTGAATCTCTGTTGATGCTTTTGTTTGCTTCCTAAATCTGAAATCATCTCGGGCAGCCATAGCCCTCAAACCAGTTTGAAGGACAAGAACTGACACCCTTAGACCTGTGTACTTATTTTTTGCCCAGTAACATCGAAAATTTTTCTGCATTTTAATTGCAGCCGACTCCTTTCTCATGTGCTCATACAGTTTTTGAGCCAACCTTCCTACAACCATGCCGAAATGATAACAGCAATATTATCACTAAAATCAAATTCCAGATAAGATAGCAGTAGAAAAACTCACTTCTCCATGATGACTGCACTAGAATGCTAGCCTTCCTTGTTGCGACAAACCGTTTATGAGTAATGTGCGTTCGTATCTGGCGCTGAATAGTCTTTGCAGCATTGCCAAGTACTTCAGCCCTCCTAGCATCTAATTCAGCCATCTGACCAGCTCTAAGGAAAACTTTTGTTTTTCCCATCTGCAGAGCCAAGTAAGTAATCAATAACTAGAAACACTTTAAAAATGGAATAATAATTCAGATGTAATATAAAAGTGTAAAAATTCTCAAACAGCATAATATGATGCCATGTCGTGGCAAAAAAAACAAAAGCAGTTGCTATTATATTTTAAGAAGCAATGTATATCTATTGTAACAAGAAGTGTGTTGAAGTAAATGATTGTAAAAGGCATGGAGTTTTAGCCAGATCAAATTACCTGCCAACCCTTTAGCCCCTTCTTCTCTAAAATCTTTCCACAAGCAACCTTCTCATCGTAGCTGCAAAAGGTGCCGATACAAGATGAACGCTTGAAAACCAAAAAATATCAAAATATCCAAACAAAAAGGAAATTGGGTAAACAAGTAAAATTCTATCATAAAGGTTGATGAACCTTACTTTCCTTCTAGAACTTCTGGAGCAAGAATGCCAAATCGATGAAGAAATTCATAAAATGTACGTCGAGTAGGATATCCAGCACAACTAATTCTGATAGCTTCCAGAACACCCTGATGGAAAAATATTAATTTTTAGAATGGTCTAAAAGTGAGTTTATAGGTTCATGAAAATTCAAATCCAAGAAATAGCATTCATAAACTAAATATGCACTCACACCACAACGTAATTGTTGCATGACATTAACATTCTCAAAAATGGCAGGTTTAAGAAGATTGTTTGGCTTCACACATCTAATATAATGTGGTTCAGTTGAATTCAGTATCTCCATCAAAGATTGTAGTTGTAGCTGTAACACAAAAGCCACAATAGACATTCATGTATTTGTTAGAAAACATAAATCTGATGCTATAATAGAGATCAGAAAAAGCTAACGGTACTTAATGCAGTATATGAAATATACAGCTTCTTATTTAATTTAGACATGAATTTCTATCTCCACAATTCTTTGCCACCAAAGGTAGCCAGAATTGAGGGAGAATGTCACACCTTAAAACGAGCACCAATTGATGAAAATTTAGAAGACTTTGATGTATCCTCGGGTAGTGGAGGGAAGAGGCCCGAGACAAATGGGCATTTTGAGTCACTCAGCAATTCTTGGTGTTCTGCTACAACGTAGTCCTTATTTTTATCTAGGAATTGTTCAGATTGATATTGAACCTGCAGAGAAAATAAAACCCGACTTTGTCCTGACAAGTTAGTAATAGTTACTGCTCCATTTTTTGCTTTATAATTATTAAGCTAACCTCTCCAGCATAATGGGAAATGGTAAAGTCAGTTGGAGACAACTTTGGTTTGACAAAACGCTTGTGCGTTTTAAATGTCTGATAAAGCTTTTGAGAAAATGTCTCATATGTTGATTTTGGAAACATACTGCAAATAAAATTGAAATGATTACTGACAAGCTAAATTCTTTCAAGAGAATAACAATTCAACTTAAGTTATATGAATTCAAGCATCTTCAAAGCAGCTTCTAGAAAATTACAAACAGATTGAAATACACAAGGCTACAGTTACTTCAATGAAGGCAGTGGATCGCAAAGAAAAGCATTTTTTATACCATGCTTCATCAAGCAAAGCAATGATCCCTCCAGGTTTCTGTAAGGGAAAAAAATAAAAAAGAAAACAAATAAGTTCTCTATAGGATTGAAATTACTAAATTACTCGAGTTATTCATTCTCCTAACTAGAAAAATGAGAAGTTGGTTAAAGAAAATATTTAATATGTATTTTGTATCAATGTAAGGAAATTAAAAATAAAATTTGACTATGAAATAATCATATAAAAAAAGTGTTAAGTTTAGAGAATTTGAGAGGGAAAAGACTTCATTTTAATGCACAAACTTATCCCTATTTATAGATCTATACAAGATATCTTAATAAAGAAAATTACATAATAATGCATAATTGTTCTAATATAATCCTTCTTAAATCAGCCATCTAAATATGGAAGGAGATCAGCGTGATCTAGGTGAGCCTCCTACGGATTCCCATCTTAGCCGTGGGATCAAAATGTCAAGGGATGACTTGGATTTAATAGGTGAGCCTACCACGGATTCCCATCCTAGCCGTGGGATCAAAATGCCAAGGGAGGACTGGGATTTAACACTCCCTCTGAAGCTGGGGATTACATATCCGTCATTCTGAGTATGGTAATCAGTCTCAGAATGGTAGAGTTATCGATCCCTTGGTAAGAATATCTGCAAATTGGTCTTTTGATGAGACATGGTCGATACATATAAGACAACTATCCAATTTCTCCTTTATGAAATATATGTCCACTTCTATGTGCTTGGTCCTGTCAAATTGAACCAGATTGTGAGCTAGACTAATTGTTAATTTGTTGTCACAGGGTAGCTTCAGCGGTCCTTCCTACTTGATCCTTAGATTTTCTAGAATTACCTTGATCCATAGTGGCTCACATATTCCTAAGGCCCTAGCTCTGTATTATGCTTCCGCATTAAATCTTGCCACCATATTATGTTTCTTGCTTTTTCATGTAACAAAGTTTCCTCTAAGGAATGTGCAATATCCTAAGGTAGATCGTCTATCTACAGGTGATCATGTGTAATCTGCATCAATATGTGCTTATGGAGTTATTCCATAGTCTCTTTTAAAAAGAATCCCTTTACCTAGGTTATGTCTATAGCTTGCATGCGAGTCTACTTTGGATTTTGCATGAACTGGCTGACCATGCTTACAACAAATGCTATATCTGTGTGGGAAAGGTAGATCAATTATCCTAGGAGTCTCTAGTAAGCTCTTTTATCTGCAATTTGGATCTTCATTAGTTTCGCCCAAATTGAGATTTGGTTCTACTAGTGTTGGTACCAGTTTACAAGCTAGTTTACCTATTTCTTTAATATCATTAATGTATTTTTGTTGTGAAATGGAGATTTTTTTTCTGGAGTGGGTTACTTCAATTCCAAAAAAATATTTTAATCTACTAAGATCTTTGATTCAAGTTCATTTGCAAGACATTTCTTTAGAATTACTTTCTCATTTTCATCATTTCTGATCAAGATGATATCTATATAAACTAATAAAATTGTGACTTCCCCTGAGTACGTGTGCTTGAACAATAATGTATAGTCTCCTTGGCTCTGTCGATAACCATTAAGTAGTGTGACTTTTGAGAATCTTCCAAACCAAGCTCTAGGTGACTGTTTTAGCCCATATAGAGCTTTTGTTAACCTACACATTTTGTTACCCCCAAATTATTCCTTGAATCCCAGTGAAATCTCCATAAATATTTCTTCCTCCAAGTTCCTGTGTAGAAATGCATTTTTGACATCCAACTGTTTCAGATGCCAACTATAATTAGTTGCTAGTGAGAGCAGGATCCTCATGATATTCATCTTGTCCATAGGTGCAAAAGTTTCTTGGTAGTCAATCCAATACGTCGGAGTGCGCCCATTCGTCACCAATCTTGCCTTATATATTTCCAGTGTACCATTAACTTTGTATTTCACAGAGAACACCCATTTGCAGTCAACTGATTTTTTCTTTACTGGTAGGTCGGTAATCTTCCATTTATTGTTCTTTTTCAGGGCATGCAATTCATCTTTAATGGCACTTTTTTAATTTTCATTATATAAGGTTTCAAAAATATCATTAGGAATATGAATATTATTTAGTGTAATCATAATTTTTTTGTGTGAATATGAGAAGTTACGGAAATATACAAAGTTGGTTATGAGGTACACGAGAGATTTTTTTGATGAACTTGTATTTACCTTAATTTCAGGAGACTATTTAGATTCGTGGATCTGCTCTGAAGTATAATTTTGATTTGTACATCTTGAATACACTTTCCCAAACCTCGTATTATCCATAATAATTTTGTCTTCAATTTTCCTTGCTTTGATTTCAGGTTTAGATGGATTGGTTTGAGCTGGAGGTGAAAGGTCAAGAGGGGCAATCTCACTTTCTCATCTTCCTCAGTTTCAATCTCTCCCTGAAGATGAGGTTTGGTGAAATAAGATTTTTGGTCATCAAAAGTAATGTCAACAGATATAAGAATTTTCTTGGTAGAGGAATGATAACACTTATAACATTTCTGAGTGGATGAATATCCAACAAAAATACATTTAAATGCTATTGGATCTAATTTTCCTCTATTTTGACTATGAATGTAAACATAGGTAGTGCACCCAAAGATTCTGGGTGTGAGGTTGTTATGGGTTTAAAATTCAGGGTAAAAATATGATAGGATATACATTAATGTTTTTAGTCCCAATGTTGTTAAAGGTAGTTGATTTATGAGATATGTGGCTATCAGAAGGGCTTCCCTAAGTATGATTTGGGTACATTGTGGTGGAATATAAGTGCACTGGTGGAGGCCAGAAGATGGCCATTTTTTTTTTCTACAAATCCATTTTGTTTTGAGGTATGAATGCAGGAAGACTCATGAATGATACGTTCCTTTGGAAAATAGGAGGAAATATTTTGGTTAAAATAATCTTTGGCATTATCAAAACAAAATTCTTTTATTTTTAACCCGAATTGATTCTGAATCATGGTGTGAAAAATGGGAAGGAAAGTGCTCACATCGGATTTATTTTTGAGGAGATAGATCTAAGAGACTCGAGTTAGTCATCAATGAAGGATACAAACCATCAGGCCCCTGAGATGTTATGAACTTTTTAGGGTCCCTAGATGTCACTATAAATAAGTTAGAAAGGGGTATGACATCTCTCAATTTTGTTTAAAAAAGATACACGTTTATTCTTGGCTAACTCAACTCACAAGTTTCATAATGAAAATGTTCATTTTCCAACTTGTAAAAAAAATTTGGGTACGCATTTTTTAATACATCAAAAGATGGATTTTTTTTATTTCTTAATCTAAAATGATGAAGCCAAATAGTAAATTTTTTTATTAAATAAGGATAACATAGAATAACCATTATTGATAATAGTGGATCCGTTCAGCTCTTTCAGATAGTACAGTCTATCTCTCTCCTTAACATGTCCAATATTCTTTCCCAATCCCTAGTCCTCAAATAAGCAACAAGTATGGTTAAATAGGACTTGACAATTATGATTACTGGTATGTTTTTATATAGAGATTAGGTTTGTGGATAATTGAGGTACGTGGAGCACATTTTTTAGGGTGAGGGAGGGATATAAGGGTATATCTCCTTGGCCTGCTACTGCGGTAAGAGAACCATCAACAATGATGATTTTCTTATCACTCTGGCAAGGAGTGTAGTTGATGAAGTGGGTAGTGGAGTCTGTCATGTGGTATGTGGCTTCTGAGTCAATGATCCATACTCCTTTCAAATGTTTTTTAGAGGCACTTAATCCAATGAATATAAAAAATTTGCCTGAAAGCACAAGAGAAGAAGATGCATGTGATTTTTCAAGTGATACCAGGAGTTATTTTAGTTTATCAATATCTTCTTTGTTGAGCTCTCTAAAACTGGACTGTGTTTCTAGGTTAGGCTAACTTGTTGTAGTGTTAGTTTGTGATGTTCCCTTTTGTCTACCTCTTTGTTTCCACTCATTACTTGGGGGCTTTTCATGTAACTTCTAGCATGTCTCATTTGTGTTTCTTGGTTTCTTGCAATAGCTGTACCAAAGGGAATCTGTCTTGAGGTTTTGAGAAATCTTTCTCTTTCCTTCCATGATGCCTCTTTGGCTGCCACCATTGTTGAATCTTCAACAATCTTTGGTTCCAGCTAGGGGTGTCAATTTCGGTTCACGGGTCGGGTTCGGGTCGAACCCGGAATTGACACGGGTTCAAATGGACCAACCCTAACCCGACCCGGGTATGTAAACAGGTCGGAAATGCGGACCCGGACCCGACACGTCGGGTTGCCAGGTGCTGTCGCGCGGGCAGGGCTCGGGCAGCTAGGGCAGTTCGCGGGCAGAGGGGTAGTGTGGGCATCTCATTTTAAACGGGTTGACCCGGCAACCCGTCGGGTCAACCCGCCTGACCTTTTTTTCAAACGGGTCGAATTCTGTAACCTGACCCGTTTTTCAAACATGTCAGGTCCAACCTGAAATTTACGGGTCGGGTTTTCGTGTCGTGTCAAATATTGATACCCCTAGTTCCAGCATTATGCATCGTCAGCTTTCCTCAGCATGAATGAGAGAAATGGTCTCATTTAGTGAGGGTGTCTCGTCTTTGCCAAGGACCTAAACTCTAACTTGGTCAAACTCTGCAAGAAAGTCATACACACTCTATTTTTCTCAATAAAGTTTTTTAGGATAGCCGCATCTTCTGGACACTTGGTCTCTATGCATATGTAGTGATCACGTTCTTGCCACAAGCTTTTTGAAGGAGAGTGGCATATTCATTCATGGTCTTGCTTCCTTGTTTTGTGCTTACAACCTTTACTTTAATTTCGAAGATTTGTGCAACATCTCGACCTTTTGTGAAGGTTTGTCTGGCGGCATCCTATATGTCTTTTGCAGTAGATAGGAACAAGAAAATATCGCTAATTTTTGGAGTCATGAAATTTCACAACCATGACATGATCATGAAGTCTGCTTCATCCCATGCTCAAAAATTAAGATCTTCTTTTGGTCCTACCCCAAGGAGGTGATTCATCTTTCCTTATCCTTTTAAATATGCCTTTATGTATTGAGACAACTTGAAATAATTCTTCCCATTTAAGCGATAGGAAGGTTGTATATTTTGGAGATCTTCTCTACCTTTGTGCACTACAGAGTCTTCCATTTGGTCAAAGCTTTGGGAAAAATTTCCTTCAAACATTGTGGAGGCAATGAGCAACGATGAAGGCTATATCAAGCAAGGCTGGAAATGAAGGCATGACAGCACAAAAAATTTAGAATTCCGGCAACGTCAATGAAGTCTCTGATACCATGTTAAATTCAGAGAATTGGAGAGGGAAAATGCTTCATTTTATTACACAAATTTGTCCATATTCATAGATCTATACAAGATATCTTAATAAATAAACAAATAATTACGGAATAATGTATAATTGCTCTAATATAATCCTTCCTAAATCAGTCATCTAAATATGGAAGGAGATCAATGTGATACAAGTGAGCCTCCCATGGATTTTCATCTTAGCCGTGGGATCAAAATATGAAGGGATGGCTAGGATTTAATAGTTTAGCCTCCCATGATTCTCATCCTAGCCGTGGGATCAAAATGCTAAGGGACTGCTGGCATTTAACAAAAAGGAACGAACGCAAGTTAATATTCAAATGAGTAGAGAATTTTGCAATGAACAAGATAAACTACGAAGCATGTCAACAATGGCCTAGAAATAAATTTATAACTTTAACATTTATAGCGCTGAAGTATGCTTTATTGATTAAAGCAAGATTGGTTATGTGAGCGGAACTATAGGCATATGCAGCTGTAGTTAGATGGATGGAGAATTTTGACTATCCCAACATAAGGCACATATGGTAGTTAATTATAACTTAAAGCAATTACTGCAACCTTTTCAATAAGATCTAAGACATCCTGGTTATCAACAAACTCAATGTAGCTCCAATCAATCTCCTCTTTGGTATACTCCTCCTGTTCCATCTTGAAGACATGCTGAAAATTTACAAATATCTTGCACTAACGTTAGATATACAAAAGGAATAAGAGTTTGGCAAGTTGAAAAACTTATAAAGATTGAATATTACCTGATTGAAATGCTGTTGCAGTTTTTCATTTGTAAAGTTAATACAAAACTGCTCAAAACTTCAAAATGATAAGAAGATTTAGAAATAACCAATGAAGTAAATAGCATACAGCTAAACAGAAACTTTGGTTGAAAGCAACCCTACCTGTTTGTTATAAAACTTTCAAAACCATATATATCAAGGACACCAATGAGAGACTTGGACTTAACGTCTTGCCCAATTGAGCTATTAATTTTATCAACTAGCCTGCACAAAATTATTTTTTTAAGCCCGTCAGTTATTTGGAATAAATTAAGATTTCGTTTGGGATGACTTTCTTACTACTTCATAAAGTATCTTTTTAGTAAAAATTAAAATTTTCATACTATAAAATTGTTTTAAGAAGCAGAGAGAAAGTTGTCTCAAACGAAACCTAAATTTTGTACTATAATTTTTTTGCATCTCGTGCAATCCAATTACCAGTCAAATAAACGGGAGTACACTGTCTTTGCCAAAGCATCCCTGCTACCAGTTGCTGCAACTGGATCTAGAGGTCTCCTTATAACTTCTTCAGGTGTTATCATTACACGCTTACAAAGAGCATCTTCTAAGGCCTGAGGATCACACCTGAAATATAGCACATTAAGGTCTAACACACGAGGGAAAGCTGAGTTCATGAAAGCTTAAAAGAAAAGAAGTATACATGAGAAGTTCAGCAGTTATCTTTAGATGGAACTTAGACTTCTCATCTTTAAGAACAGATGAATCAATTTCTTGACCCTTAGCAAAACTTATGTTGCCTAAATGAAGAATAGCTGCAACAACCCTAAAAATGGCATCCTGGAAGATGGAGTGGACCATGTCATTAATAAGGAAATTATGATAGCACAAAACAAAAACGTTATAGAATGAAAACAATACCTGTTCCTGTGTACTAATCCCAACTATTTCCATTGCCCTCCTGGTAGCTAAATATTCTTTGGCATCACTTACACCAGCCAATTCATAGCAATTTGATTGGTTAAGATAGTGAAGTGACCTTGGATTCCCCAACTTATATTTCTCTATCTCCTGGAAAGTTAATAATATTTAAAAGATTTGATATTGAAGAAATGGAAGGTCTCCATCTTAAAATTATAATTTAAGAAAATAGCAAACCTCGGGAGGGGCTGCACATAGAAGGTAAAAACAATGGTAGTTGCGCTCAGGATCAGAAACTTGGCAAACTCTTGACCTTTCTAGCAGGTATGTTCTGATGGCAGCACCAGATATCCTTCCTTTGTTATCAAACTGGATCTCTACAAATTTACCAAATCGACTGCATAAATTTAAGAAAAAAGTTACTGATCAAGAAGATTAATTTATCACTCCTACGAATATGTAAGAAGCAAAACTATTTTAAGCATATTGTGAAATGTATTAGCTTGCAGAGAGTAAATATGATTAATTACCTGGAATTATTATTTCGGACAGTTTTAGCATTGCCAAATGCCTCAAGTACTGGGTTTGACTGCAATGGCATGAACCAGATTTAGCTTCAATAAATATTAATTGTGCAGCTTGATCAAAAGCTTGAAAAAAGTAAATGATTCAAAAACATTTCTAATTTTACTAGACAATAAATAGCGTAATCTCTTACTTCTAGAACTTGCTGCTCTACCGTTCTTCCTTCAGTTGCAGCCCGACCACCCATATAGGCAAGATATCGCATAAGCATCTTAGTAGTTTCTGTTTTACCAGCACCACTTTCACCACTGACCAAAATAGAGTTACTTTTTCCCTCATTGATCATTGCTCTGATTTTATTGAAAAATCACATAGCATTAAACACTTCGAAAGGAAAACAGAATGCCTAAATACAGAAGAGTCCAAGGATCTTACCTATATGCAACATCTGCAACTGCAAAAACATGAGGACTTAGTTCTCCAAAAGGTGCTCCTTTATATTGTTCCATCATGTGGATATCATATAAATGAGGTAATCTTTGAAATGGATTCACAGCAATGAGAATATTTCCTGTGTATGTCTGTGGATTAAGGAATTGCGTTATGGCAAGTTGAAACTCATAAGCCTATATTTCATTTGGGATGACTTTCTCACTGCTTAAAACAATTTTCTTGTACAAAATTTTAACTTTTTTATTAAAAAGCTGTTTAAAGAAGCAGGAAGAAAGTCCTCCCAAATGAAGTCTAGACTAGAGAAAGGATGCATTCAATGATTAAATTAACTGAAATAAGGATGATATCATACGTAAATTTCATTCAATTCATATCTTGCTGACAAATTCTGCAGAACCCCAGGTTCATGTAGATAGGATAGCTTTGTCATGTCATCAACTCCACCTGGAGGAGCTTCCATATCTTTGGGATATATTTTTGAAAGTTTTTCAATAACCTAAAAGATTTAAGTGAAATTCATGTCAAAGGCAGCCTTTCAGCAAGAGCAATACCAAAGTTCATACTTAAACAACATTTATTTTCATAGTTAGCATTTGCGGAAAATTGTTAGGCTGGCCCAGGAGTGGCCGGCTGAACCGGTCCAACTTGGACTGGTTCTTTGCTACAGCAGGCGGCCCAAGCCAGGTGGGGGGCGGAGCCAAGGGGGGTTTTGTGTTCTAGGTTTTCTTGCTTGGGCTCTTGGCGTTGTCGGAGATTGTTGGAGAGTTGTTCTTCCTCTCGAATTGAAGAACATTGTATCTTGCTTTGGTTTTGATCATCTACTAAGGGAATACAATTGTTTGCTATTGTTTTTTCAAAGTTTTCTCTCTTTTCTCTCAGCTTTTCCATTATTGGTGGCTGTTTTCTATTGAAAACAGTGAAATATTGGTGAATTAGCGAAGATCCGATAGGAATCGCTTGGAATATTCAAGTGGTACCTATCATCTTTTTGTAAGAGTCATTTGGCTTTAAGTAGTCTTTTTTGTTAGGGTTTGCTTTTCATCTTGAATTTGGAAAAGATTTGAGATCTAAGGTTTGTTCTTTCTGGGCTCTAGGCTTTGCTAGAGAGTTGGGAGAGATAGATCCTCCTCTCGAATTGAGGATTGATTGTATCTTGCTTCGTGTTTTGCTTTTGCTTTGAATCCAATATTACAATCTATCATTTTGGATAGATTTCATCAAGAGTATAGCATTATTTCCGCTGTTTTTGTATCAATTAGTATTAAGGTTGCTTGCGAACTCAAGTATTTCCTCTTGGATTACTTGCAAACTCAAGTACTTCCTATCAAAAAGCTCCTGCAAATACCTGCAAATATGCTGCATTTCGCTCAGATGTATAAAGTTGTCACTTTCTAATATTAAAGGTTTGTGGGAACTAATACCTACTACTGAATATTATTTTTCTACATGTGGATCAGACCGCAAATTTGTGGAATATTATTAGGATACATTATGTGGGAATATCCTAAGAGTTAGTTTTTAGTTTTCTAATGATTGTGCTAGACTTTCAGCATTTAAAGTGCATCATCTCCTATAATTATAACCTGGACAAACAAGCCTTTTGAGTTACTCATTTGACAATTATAAGCAACGTTGTTTCCTGTTAAGCTAGATAACAGCTGTGGGGTTCAGTCAATAGTGCACAATAAAAACAGAAGGCGAAAGATGCAACGTAGTATGAAAGTCACCCATAGCTAAAACTCAAAATTGTAAAACAGACAGAGCCGATGTGTTCGGGGCAATTGAAATAGCTAAGATCAGTACCCATATTAGCTAGAGTGGTCAATTGGTGAAAATAGAAATTTCACAGATGTGGATCGAGATCGGCATGCACAATCAACGACAATTTGGCGAGTAAATCGATGCTTGATTTATATAAATAAATAGTTATTATTATTAAAAAATAAAAATAAATAGTTATTATTAATCCACAAAATTTTATTTAATCTATTTATCTCTCTCTCTCAAGCTCTCTACCTCTTCTCTCTCTCTCTCTCTCTCTCTCGCTACAGCTCTTTCCCTCTTTCCCTTGAATATATTTTTAAGTCCTCTTTTCCGCTGCTGACGTTCAATTTTCTTAGCTATTGGATCTAATTTTTTATTTCTCGGAAGTTGTCACTTGTCAGAATTTAAATATGCAGTCAGTAGCCATAGTTTGTCTTTCATCAACGCCATCTCTTTCGCGTCTACCTCAACTTTCTTAAACTAGTAATAGATTGAAAACCAAGCGATAGTGAAGTGAATTACGTAAACAGGAAATGCAAATCAAACTGAAAAGTGAATGTGGATAATAACAAAACAGACGAATGTTCAGTTGGTAACTTCTCAATAAATTTGATTATAAAATGAGCTTACTGTTTTCCCATTAGTCGTTTGAATCTCGGCCTCTTGCCCGGTGATTTTAGTAACTCGTCCATCAGTCCAGGAAACAGCAGAATCTTCAATCCAGACATGAGAACCAACAATGATATTAATTGTTGTTCCCTGTAAGTATTAGAAATAAAACGCATAAGATAAATTTTCCCATTCAACTTCTCATTTACCATTACAGGAAAATAGCATGACAAAATTGAGGTACTTAGAAACAGAGTTACTATTGCCCTGAGAGTGTTTCACAATTGCCTTGCTCACACAACTAGTATTAATTTACTTAAATGGCTGAGGAGGTCTGCACGACATCTTGAGCTTATAACATAGACTAGATGACATTTATACTGCCCGCACAAGGGCAAATTATTCTATGGGGACGTTGAATGTCGTTCAGAGACTAATCAGAATGCGTCACATCACCCCTGCTCGGTATCACGCTCGGTACTGTGCTCGGTACTGCTGATGTGAAGCATCCTGATTAGTCTCCGGACAGTGAACTGTGTTCAGCATCCACACAGAATAATTTCTCCCGCATAAGCACTATGTAATGAGAAGTGTTGCGTCCTGGAGTATTCGCGGCGGTAGAGAACTGAAATCGGAGTTCATATGCTCCCGAAATTAATTTTTGAAGTTTCCAACTAGGTTTTTGCCTCGAGATTCGTGCCCGATCAAGATGATTTTGCGATGCCGTATCAAGAAGCATTTCTCATTTTAAGAGCCGAAATCATACAGATTAACAGAACAAAAATGATATTATTAAAAAAACAAAATTAATATTATAAACAATAGCAGGGCTTCCTGGCAAGCCAAATAGTTAAAAATCTTAATTTTATACTTAAAAGACAACTCAAAGAAAACTCATGCTTCAGTTAATTAATTTCTTATTGGCTTCAAATCTTATGTGCCGAAGTTTGTCCTTTAATTAAGGCTATTTTTTTACTATTTTTTGAAGTAATTTTAATACAAATTTTTTTTAATTATAATTTTTTTATTAAAAAGTCTATTTAGAAAACAATAAAAAAATTATCCAAATAAAACCTAAATCTTCGCAAAATACAACACTAGTTTATGCATGGAACTGTAGAAGAAAGAAATTTCCTTAGCTTTTGTTATATTGTTTGGTCCAGTTTTAATTATGTTGTTGCTTAGATTTTTTCAAACTTAACCTATCAAAAGTAAATACAAATTCAGCAATTCAAATTAGAAGTTTGTCCCCCTCATCTTTTCTAAAAATCTTTCCACATAGTTAAGAAACTTCTCTTTTTTCATAATCTATTTTAGATCAAAATAATGCGCATCAATTAGCGGATTAAGTTCATTTTAATCCAAACGATAGCAAAATTAACCATAATAATACAATGGAAGTCATAAAGCAATTACATTATCGAAAAGAACAATCAAATGAAGTACTTACCATGCCTTAAGAGCCTGGTAGATAAATTTATGCACCTTGCAAGCAGGGCAAGCGATTCAAAAGAAAATAACCCTAGAAGACCGACGCCAACTCCAACATTACTCAGGCATTAACTATTATCAATCTCATTTCCTTCAGTCATTACCTCGAACAAGGAACAATCGATTAAAGTGATTGACGAAATGGCAATCCCCAAGAGAGAGGAATGGCGTTCGCCGATCAATGGACGCCATTAGTGGATGACCGCTTCTTCCTCTATTATCAAGCAGCCGCAAGCCAGGTGTCTTTTCCCCGTCCTCCCAACCCATATTCTCTCTGATCCCGCCCAACAGAAAGCTACCGTGACCGCGCTCAATCGAATTGTTTTTTTTTTTTTTTTTAATAGAAGAAAAATTACAATCTTAATTATACTTAGAGCGCAACCGTCAGGCGTAAGCTCGGTTTTTATTCCCCTAATTAGTTTGCTCACAGGATGTTTTAACCTTTTCGTAGTTAACGGGGCAGCTAAATATTGAACATCATTTGGTTAATACTATCTTATGAAGGGTAGGCGAGTCAGTAAAGTTTTGAAATCAAATATTTTAATTTGGATTGGAGCTTAATTCGAAATAATAATATATTATTTCGATACAAATTTTGAATTGGATTGGATTAAATATATTAATTTAATAAAATTTCATGAAGTATAAATAATGATACTAACTGTTGCGTCCTGGACAGTTTGACTGTAAGCTCGCTGAAATCGGAGTTCATATGCTCCCGAAATTAATTTTTGAAGTTTCCAACTAGGTTTTTGCCTCGAGATTCGTGCCCGATCAAGATGATTTTGCGATGCCGTATCACTAACATTATAATGAGTTCTATATATATACTATTTATATAGTGTTGCGTGCTATCATATTTATGACGGTAGAAAGATAGATAGTTTAATTTCTTAATTTTGAATGAAGATTCAACACACATACAGATAATAGATGAGATCATAATTTTTACGTGTCAAGGCCAATAAAAAAAAAACATGGGCTTGACCTCATTAAAATAATTATACTGATATTTATCATTTATTATAAATAATGCTATTCCTTGAGAGAAGACAGATACAATACAATAAATATATTAAGAGGTTGAAGTTGAAAGAGCCCTGTTGTATGAGAGTTGTCTTTAATAGGACATTTGTTATTGTTTTGGTCATACTCATTTGAGAAGAGAACACTATAAACTAAGAAATTCAACATAAATCGTAAGGTTGAAGTTGAGAGTCAAAGTTAATGTAAACGACACATATTGATCTTATAAGTGGTGACATACATTAACATTATTAGCAATGGTAAGTGATGATATCAATAAGCATCATGATAGCCTGACGATAATGATTAGAATTTTGTAGGTCAAAGTATCATATTTCAAGTGACAGTGGTGAGAAGATCAAATTTGTGCAACAGTGGCCGATCGGAAGGATCATAATCATGTGATGGGTGGTACATGGTGATTAGAAGGGTCGTAGTCAGGTGATAGAGATTGGAGCATTATAGTCGAGTAACGATGATCAAAGGATTGTAATCGGGTAATGGAGGTTGGATGACAGTGGTCAGAATGATCATAGTTGGGTGATAGAGTTCATAGGACTTAAGTCAGGTGATGGTAGTCGGAAG